GTAGCAAAGGCATCCCCTAGCCAGAAAAATATTTTTAAAAATCCAGCCAGCCTCCAGCCAGCCTCCAGCCAACTTCCATACGACTGTGTGCTAAGTGGCCCCTTGTGTACAATCTAATAGATTATTTACACAACAGTGCCTGGGCCAGGCAGTGGAATGTTTCTTATCAGTGACAGCTGTCTGGAACTTGTCAGAGGCCTCTTTCGGCTGTCTTTGAAGTGTTATTTTGTTGGGGCGGGGGTGTTGTGGTGGGGGTGCAGCTTGGCTGGCGCGTGGCGAGGCCCCCCTCTCAAATCGGGATAGCCTGGGAAAAGGCCCCCCCCCACCGTACTGTGATGTACTTCTGGTGGTTTTTAAGAGCTGTAGGGTCTAGGGGAAACACTGAAGCATTTATGTACCTTTAGGACGGACTCAGGGCTATGCAACCCTGAGAAATGATACGGCCTCTTCTGGCGAGTCCGCCCCAGCCACCACGTAAAATAAAATTCATACCGCGTCCCAAGATGAGCGCGATAACCCTGGCCTACCCATGGGAATAGCTGTTTTTGAGTCCTACAGTGACAATATTAACGATGAAGATCGTGAGATAAAAACATCTGAACTTGAGTTTCTGGCTATTCAGCTTTTAAATTAAGAAAATCTTGCCAACTTAGACAAAATCCTTGTCGACCATTTGAGCGATAATCAATTGAGAGATTTGTCAGGCCCATTTCAAAGGTACAAACTAGTCTATTTCAATAATCTTGGCCCCACATTAATGGCGGTTCATGGTGTTGATGAGGGAGACTCAAGACCTATTATAAAACAGGCACCGGACAGCCTTACCCAGACAAGGTTCGAAAAGGAATTAAGTTCATGTCGGAGCATGACATTATAGGACCCAGTTAGAGCTCATGGAGTTCTCCCATTGTCACGGCATCGAAGCCCGACGGTACTCTAAGGTTCTGCAAAGTTATCGAAAGGTCAATGCAGTAACTAAGACTGATTCCTATCCTATTCCTGGGTTGGAAGACTGCATCGATAGAGTGGGAAATTCGGCATTTGTCAGTAAAATTGACTTTTTACAAGGCTACTGGCAAGTGCCTTTGACTGACAGAGCCAAAGAAATTTACGCATTTATGACACCAGATGGCCAGACGACCAATGTAAAAAGATGCCCGTCGGGTTGAAAAACGTCCCGGCTACATTTCAGAGAATGATGAGTCAAATTGTTGCCAGGCTAGATAATTGTGTTGTCTACATTGACGACATTTTGGTGTACAGCGATAGCTGGGAAGAGACAGTTTGTGAATTGAATCCAGTTCCAGTTTGTGGGTTCATCAATTCCCGTATTTAATTGCGACGGTCATCACGCCCTCGCCGTTTCCTCACGCGGTCTTTGTCTCCGTTGCAGCTCATTTTTTTGCACCGTCAAGGACTGAACTGTTTCTCGCCATCTGTGGAGTCCAGCTTTCTTCACTGTAGTGCCTGCCAACCTCCCGTCCGTAAGAACATCTTGTTTGTATAAGATGTTTCTTATCTTTATCATTAAAACTAGTTCCAATCAGCATCTTCTTTGTCATCCTTTTTTTTTACATGCTAAGTGTAACATTCTCATTGTGTCATAAATGTTTATCTGTTCCGTATATCAGTGTGATCTTGTTTCAATTCTTTGTTGCATCGGAGAAAATTCAATACTTAATATTCTTAAATAGTTTGGAGTTTTTCGGATCGTAACAATATCTTATGCTCGAATTTTCCATTGAATACATGTACATGTATCTTACGGTACATTGATAGCATTGTTTGGCAGCCAATGCAATTCTCCAGCTGTTGCAGTTTCACGTCAAGAACAGGTTGGCCCTAACTAGAAAGGTCTGTTGATTTTTACCTCTGCAGAAACCTGAAATGATTGTGTATGTGTGTATTTTTTTGCAGGGAATGGTGCATATAGTGACAATGCTGTGGGCGCAGTGTCAAGCACAGGTTGCGGTGAATCAGTAGCGAAGGTCACACTGGCTCGCAACGTGGTGTTCTACATGGAGCAGGGTACGAGAAGCACAGCACTTCAGCATACTTTTCCGGTCCCCAAAATAGCATGATTTCATCACAGGGCTATCTATGCATCAATTTAAAGACACCTTTGGTATTTCACTGACCAATTGGGATGCAGTAAGCACATGGGCTTTGCTAATTGAGAATCATCTCATTTTGGTGCTTGCTAGACTCTCTGTTGGTGATTTCGTAGCAGAAAATCCTTAGCCGTAAGGAATTCCTATTGAGTTAGTTCCTGTTTCAAACTTTTTTTAATGAGACGTTTGTCACTACACTAGTAATGCATGTGCTTGTTTGTAGGGGGGAAACAAGCACTGTCATTTAATTGATCAAGGGGTAAGAGGCCTATTTTTTACAACCAGCTATTTATTGTTTATTATAAATGTACAATGGATGTTTCTTTTGGCTTCAATGAGGTTTCCTCTGTTTTTGCCCGATATATGGATATCAAGCAGTACTTATTCTTAATTATTCGGAGCTATGACGTTGACTATAATTCGTTTGCATCTTGTCTATTCTGATTATTCTTCTACCATAACATGATGTAAGTTGATACTGATTACAATACTGTTTGGAACCTGCTCCGGTTTTGTGGCATGTCAAGGTTGTATATAGGAAATCTTTTAACAAGTCGACAAGGTGATCATACAACATCTTTCTTTGCTTGTCTTCACACATTAACTTTATCAGATATAAACAAACTTCACACAGGGATTTTCAGGTATAACCTTGTCAACAACCTACTTCCTCCAGTTTTTTCTTTTTACTTTACCGCAGTTTATTCTGTGCATAGCCACGGCACCAGAACACGTCTCAATCTGGTTTGCCTTTTGCACGTACATCCTATTCCCTGAATACACTGAGATTCTCTTTGGAATAGTATTGATGGTAATAATAAGTCACAGTTACATGTATCTGTGGGATGCTTTAAGAGCAACTACAAAAAACACCTAGTCTCTGGTTATCTGAGGTAGCTTCTTTTTTCTTATCATTCTAATCGTCCTTTTGTTCTTCTAATGTTTCAAGTGTTCGGTCATTCCATTTTTTTTTTCATCTCAATCTGTTTTTTCGTCTTTGTTTTGTTTTTGTCCTTGTTTTGTTTTGACTGTATTATACTGCAATTGTCTTTTTTTTATGTGTAATCTGTTGTCAGTCTTCTTTCTCTGGTTCTTTTTTTTGTCTAAATGAGGCATTTCTGTACAAGACTTTGTCTTCTGAATATGCCTCAGTCTGCATTTTGCCCCCTTTTATTTCAATATCTTATGGTCTTATTTAACTTTCACTATTGTAGTCAAAAATCTTCATTTATTGACCTTGTGTATAATTTGATATAATTATACATTGCAATATTGAAATAAATGTTGAGTCAAAAAAGTATATACTTCGCGCAGTAAGGGCAACAGTTAGGCAAATCTGCAAAAATTTTGCAAGAGACGAGCTAGGAATTTTATTTTTTAAATGGTCTATGTATGTACTGCTAGCAGTGTTTGAAAGTATCACATGATCTCTGGTTTTGTGAAAAGTGTGTCGAGGCAGTGTACAATCATAGTCAAGGTGTGTGCTCACTTTAGCAAATAATGCCATAATTTCGCGGCAAGGATACTCTTCTGTAATGAGTGGTCTGAGTATATCATTGATGGCACTGATAGCAAATGTTTGATGTGCTTTGGTTTGTAATTGTACATCTCGCATTATAGGCCATTATTGGGCAACTGCGTCCAATTTTTTTGACAAGAATGCAAAGGAAGTTAACAATCAGTCTTTCACTTTTAAAAGTGGTCTCTTATGTCCTCTATTGAGTTTTCAGACATTTGTGGAAACATGCCCAGATATTGTGGTGAGTGTGTCAGGGAATGATGTTGTGATTGTTTCTCCAAAAGATCTAAGAAAAGGTACACTTGCATGTCAAGATCGATATCCATCATTCTTTTAATAGATAGTCAACGTAGGCAGTTAAAGTGGTGTATAGGGAAAGTGTCTTCGTGTCCTTTAAAGCAGCTTTTAGTTTAAACTGTTATTGCAGTGAAAACACACATCTTTCCTTAATTTAATGGTTACCATTTCCACTTCTATTTTGTGTTGCTATGAAAGTCTCTCGTTTTAGTTTGTATGACTTAACTCTGTGGAACAGATTGTGCTGTCTTCCGTCCCTGTAGGGTGCGTGTGGGAAGTTGGCTTTGATGAATAGTTTTCAAGCAAACTTTGAATATAAATGTAAACACCGTGAGAAGTTGTGCTCATCATTTGTGAAAAGTATACCAACACACATGTGATGGTGGGGCTTACCGATTTACGAACGGTGGGTAAAATGGCGTTCTGTTAAGTAATTTGAGTAAGCGGTTAAGTAATTTGGATATAGTACCGAAGTCACGTGACAAGTTAATAACTATTTGGGGCTAGCACTTGAAGAAGTAGGGCTCGTAACAGTATCCGCGAGCCATGGAATAATGAGCCAAGTCTTTGGGCTATTAAAGCAAGCCTTGCTGTTGTGGCAACCATGCCAACAATTCGTAGGCAGATATGCAGCATGTTTTAGGCAACTACTGAGAAAATTTGAAATTATCAGTGTGCGTTATTGCTGTCAAGGTTTAATTAAGCAATCAATGCTGAAATTTTGAAGTGGTCAAAGATAAATTAACTCGCAGTTCAAAAGCTATGTCAAAAGTCAAGTCGTTTCAACGTTTGCTTTTGCGTGTTGTCTGGTAATAATTTTGCCAATGTTGACCAGCTAATTTCTGTATTCAAACCGTACCGTTACTCTAAAAAAAATCGTCCCATTTCATTTATATAATTCTACTTAGTGAAGAGTTAACTGTTTTCTCACTTTGCAGGTTTGTCACCGCAAGACGCAGTAAAGAAAGCTCTGACCGTTATGAAGGACCGAGTGGATTCCCTAGGGGGCGCAATTGCCGTGAGCAAAACTGGGGACTTTGGGCACTACTTCAACACAAAGGTCATGATATGGGCATCGGTTCAGAATGGTCAATTGCATTATGGGGTGTTTCCAGGAGAGGATCTGGTCACCACGTGCTGAGGAATGGCAAGAGAAATGTGGGTGTAGGCCTAGATCCTGTGTGTTTTCAACTAATTTACCTGTCTTTTACAGTCTGGGAGCGTTTCAGCCTTCTCAGTGTTATGTATGTTAGGCCTACGTTTTATGACACTGGCAGGCAAGAATCAAGAACGTATCATTCGTATGGGTAAATGTTACCCTTCTTGGAAGGAGCAGTCTTCACACCTGGTAGAAGGTCATTCTACGTACTTCTAGACAGAAATGCTTAAATGCTCTAATTAAAACTGTTTTCTCTAATTTTTATCTGTTCAAATAAACATGGAAACATCAAAATCGAACGCAGTGACATTTATCTTCAGAGCTCAACTATAAGAAGCTTAAAAGAGATTTTTTTTACTCACGCCAAGATGCGAATTCTGAATGTAGTTTGCGTCATTCGGAGAAAACAAAACGAGGGAAACCCTCGCCTTGTGTTCGTACCCAAACAATGGCTACGTGCATTCATGCATGCATTTGCCCACTGTCATTCGTCAAAGCCAGCATAAACATGCCGTTTGACACAGAAACCAAAAATTGTCCGAAGTTGCAGAGAGGAGGGTGGGCTTGATTGGTCTGGTTCCAGACTGCCTCGAAGCTCATCCCATCAGGACCTGGACGGGTAATTCCGTGAAGTGACACCGTCTCGACCCAAAGAACCACTACAAAATGCTCTTTTGATAAGCATGCACGACTTATCATCCCATCGATTACTAAAAACTTGACTCTTCTCTACCCTGCTGTTGCTAAAGCTCTCTCCCATGCTGGCCTTTGTCAAGTCACTCCCAATATGCCTTGTGGAATAGCAGTTGTGTTTTCCTTGCTGCGTTTTTGTTGAAAACAAGTGTAAGTCTTGCAGGTATGTTGGCGCCAATAAGTGCCCTCACGTCTGCCTTAAAACAGCCAGTGTATGGTGTGTCTGACCAATCTGCCGAAAGCAGGCAAAGGTAGGCCTACTCTGGAATTGTCTTCATATCAAACCCTCTTGGTTTCAAATACTGGTTGTAGTACAACTCAGACACGGTGGAAACCATTGAACCTGTATCAAGTAAACACTGGACAACATGCATGCAATCTCGTGAAACGAACACAGCAATGACGGAGTAACAGTTGGAAACTGATTATATATAACGGGTTTGCCCTTACCCAACGTATATTTATAAACACTGTATGCTCAGTGCTTGTCCGAGAGCTTGCGAAAAAACCTGACAAGCTTACTCGGGTAGGACTCGAACCCACGACCGCCTGCTTACTAGTGCAGATG